CTTTTTTAGTAACATACATATACATTTTTTATTCCCCTGCCCTATCAAGGGAAGGATAGTGATGAAAAAACTCACCCCTCAGTTATTTTCTGCAAACACAGTATGTATATTTGGAGTGTGGCAGGGTAATGTTTTGTGAAGGGATTCAGGAATACCGGTTAGCTGGACTCGGGGTCCTGGAGGTGAAAAGTACAGTTCCTGACTTTACAGGACGGTTTTGGAATATTTGCTGTTGGGAGTAATGTCTGAACTGTCACATTTGCATGCCTCTTGAAAGACAGTTCTATGGTAAGCCTCATCTTCATAAACCCCCCCGCTTCCCGGTAAATTTCCCAATACAGGGGAAACCCCCCGAATATGGGCCCAAAAGTCAAAGCCAAATTTTATTTCTTTGCGAGTGTAGTACATTGAATTATGTATTTAAAATAATGAGTTGCAGTGCAAAGAGAGCCTCTATGATGCCATGGCTTTAAATGGGCTGACTTAACTTAATGGTTTAAATGACTACTTAATACGTACTAAAGAAAATTATCATAGTTTAAAGTTGTACAATAGTTCTATTAATTTTAAATGAATCTAATTTATAAACCAAAGGAAATACATGTACGTATTCATAGTTTCAAACTGGTTTTTATGAAACATGATTCAATTACATTCTGTCGACAATGGACAATAGTTTAAAATTATATTATGGGAATATAATCTTGTGATTTGCTTAAAGAAGTTTGCTTAAAGTAGGCTGCTGCGTTTATCGTCCGATTCGTATTTAGCAGGTTGTTGGGGGAAATTTTGCTCTGTATTTCAGCCAGTGCCATGTAAATCATCCTTTATCAACGCGCGCCCACCCACCTCCCGCCGAAACGTGCATGTAGGTGAGTCAGCCCTCCCTGTGTCTCTTGGAGAATGAGCATATACTCCAAGCATCATCTAACATTTCCGTAAAATCCTTTAGTTTTTGTGCTTCTTGCTTTTGTGGGCTGTGAAAAAAGCCACCATGGGCCCAAAGAAAGATCAGGGGTCCCAGCCCTTTCGTAAAAAAAGTGAGAAACACGATGGAATTTAAAGAAAGAAGTTATGGAAAAATATGAGAGTGGTGTTCAAGGCTAGAACTTGCCAGGATGTATGGGAAATCCAAATCAACAATCACTTCCATCCTGACAAAGAAAGAGAAATCAAGGAAGCTAATGTTCTAATAGGAATTTAGCAAGGAGGCAGGGAGTGTAAAAAGGAGGCAGGGAGTGTAGCAGGCATGCAGGGAGGTAGCAGGCAGAGGAGTGTAGCAGGCAGGACAGGAGTGTTGGGGGAAAAACAGGAGTGTGAAGGGTGGCAGGGGTGTAGCGGCAGGAACAGGGGTGTAGCATGGCATGAAGGAGCTTGTAGGAGGCATGAAAGGGATGGTTGCAGGCATGCAGGGAGTGTAGGAGGAGGCAGGGGTGTAGCATGGAGGGTGGGAGTGTATGTAGCAAGGGAAATGGTGGTGTGGAAGGGGTGGCGGATAGGAAGTTTAGTGGCATGCAGGGAGTGTAGCATGGTGGGAGTGTGTAGCAGGGAAACAGGAGTGTGGAAGGGAGGCAGGAGTGTAGCAGGCACATGCAGGATGTGTAGCAGGCAGGAAGGGATTGTAGCATGGAGGGAGGGAGTGTAGTTAGGGGCAGGAGTGTAGCAGGGAAACTGGGGTGTGGAAGGGTGGCAGGGAGTGTAGCGGCATTCAAGGGAGTGCAGCAGGCAGAGAGGGGAAGTCACCCCAGACAGGGCTTTGATACTTGAAGTCCTTTGAGGGGAATCCCATTCCAAACAATAATAGTCTCCTCTCTCTCCTTCTCTTTGTCTTCCATAAGCATAAGAGTCTTCAAGTAATAGTGAGTTAAAGGGTCATTTATTTTTTTATTTTGTTCTATTGTTTTGTGTATGTAAACTCACGTGTATAATTAATTTTATAAAAAATGTATTTTTTTATTATTATTTTTGGGTGTCTGGAATGGATTAAGGTATTAATAATTCTTATGGGAAATATTGCATCGAATTAGGCCGACCTTCTGGAATGGATTACAGCAATATTTGGGGTTCCATGATTTCTGAAAGCATTCACTTTCTTCCATACTCCCTCCCTCAATGTATATCAATTTTTTCGTTATTTAAATTGTTGATTCATCATCACCTGACTCTTAATCTAATTCACTTTCAAGTTTCTACAATTACACACCTTACCAAACTCATCTACTATCTTTGTAATTTTCTTAGTATCCCCCAAATAGCAAACAGTATCATCCGCAAAAAGTAATTGTGTCAGCTCTATTTTGTATTTGATTCCCTTAATTTAAATACCACCAGTGGCGTTGCTAAGGTGGTGTCCACCTGGGGCGGCATCTTTGGTGTCCACCCCCATGAAAATCCAAGGGGTTGGGGTGAGGGGAGTAAACTCCTGTTACGTCATATGCATGCCCAGTAACTAATGCTTAGCAATGAGAAACGTTTAAGGGCAATAAAATGAACAGGTGATACTTCTCAATTTTATTAATATAAAATAAATAATCACAGTGATTATTGAGGAAAACAAACATCAAATACTGTTTGAGGTCAGGAACAGATTTACATTTATTCATCTTTAACAATGCAGAAAAAAAAAACTTGAATAAGTAAAGAAAAACACGTGCAATATAGAGAGATGAAATAATAGTTCCATTTGAATTGAGTAAGGTTAAATTCCGTGAATCTGATCTACATTTCCTTGCTCAACCCTGCCAAAATCATCTATAACATCTCAAAATTCAAGATTTTCCCTATATAGGCTATTTGTACTCTGTAATCTATAAGAGGTATACAGAAACTAATGATTCTTCTCTTATGTTGCTGCAGCCACTGCTTTGGGCATTAGTGTCACCCTTCTTTAGAGGGCTTGTGGTGTTACCCTAGATGGTGTCTCCCTTACAACACCACTGGATCCCACCCCCTGCTCCAATACCCTCGCATTTTTAAAAACTTTTTTCTTTTACTACCCATCTATAATATGTTAAACTATTGGCTTGCAGAGTGTGTTAATTCCTTTTATAAGGGAAGGGAGACAAGAGACTGTTAAAATTATGGGGACTAAGTTTATGAGTATACGGTAAAATGTTTATGGTAAGGGTTTTCCTGAAAGAATTAGAGGGTAAGACAGAAAGCAGGATTGCAGGATGAGCAAGGAGGATTTAGGTTGGAGGTAGGGGATGTGTAGATCAAGGGTTTACATTGAAGCGATATATGTGGAAAAGTGTTTAGATAAAGGTAGGGGAAATTTTCATTGCCAGTTATGGATTTAGAAAATAGGCAATATGACAGAGTGGATAGGAGAGGCAATGTGGCAGTTGTTGCAAGTTCTGGAATAGGTAGTAATTACTAAATGCTGTAAAGAGTTTTTATGGGATAGTGAGGCTCTGGTTAGAGTGGTTAGGGAGAGGGGGAGATTCCAGTAAAAGTAGGGTCTTCGACAGGGGATGTGTTAATGTCTATGGTTATGTATCATGGTTGTCTCCTTGGGAGAAACAAAGATATGTTTACCTTAGTCACCCATGTAGTCATGTGAGAAACTTAACCACCTCTGGGCACTGCAGGGTGGCCTCGGACCTCTCAAATTCCTTACACATATCTATCCGAGACCAGTATTAAATTGGTAGAACTAACGTGTGCGTACTAAATTAATTGTGGACTGTATAGATTAAATTAGTTTAATGATTGAGAGGGAAGTGGAGGGGGTAGGTTACACATGGATTATACCTTCAAGGAAAGAAAACTTGTATAATCCACCAATTAAGGATATTCTCTGGTGGTCACTTGATGAGGTGGACAAACATAACCTATTCCAATTAAACATTACATAAATGGCAGTATCAGTCTGCTTAACTAGAAAGGTTATAGTGTGGGTGATTGATGCTCCTTTTTCCTCAATTCCCATCTCTTTCGATATCCTGCTACACCGACACGGGGTTCTTATTCCAGCAGAGACGAGGTTATCGTTGGTTTGTCCCGTTTGAAGTAGTGTTTCCATGAACTTCAATTTCCTGTGTTGGAACTTCACTCGGAGCATGGCGACTTATTTCACTTCATGCATTCTTTAACTTGGCGTTATTATCATTTATTACATTGCAATTTACAAGTTGATTTTTACATTAAGTCTCATAATTATT